TAGCTCCTCCATCTTTGCACTAGTCTTGAAGGACTCCAGTTGCTTCTCGTACTCCTCCAAATTTTCTTGTATCTTTGAGCCGTCAAGAAACTCACAAATGATGTTATCGATAAGTGTTAGGTTAGTGAGACAGTAATAAGGTTTTAATTTATCCAATAATAACTCGTCAAGTGATTGAGGAGAAGAAGACGATTTCAATTCCAACCTTATCTTGACATAAGAGTGAAGCTCATTTACAGAGACACCACGAGATTTCAATTCTTGGAGGATATCAGAAACTAGCTTGGCAAACTTTGATTCTAGCTGACTGAAAATTTTTAGGTCTAACTTTTGAAACCGAAATTCTACTTTAGTAACAGGGCTCTCTTCAGAACTTAAAGTAGCTTCTTCTTGAGACATTCTTTCTTCTTGGCTAGGGCCCATTGTTCTTATTTGTTGAGCTAGTTCCTCTAGTCCTCTCATTTTAGTGAGTGCATCTGATATAACATTCCAATGAAGGGCCTCCTCATCGTTTGTCTTCAGCCACAAGTCAAACATCTCTGCTTTACATCTCTCCACTCCCTCATGGAAGAACTGTTTACGAATCTTCTCTAATTCATGTTTGGGTATGTTCAAGTGTAGTCCCAGGACTTCCCAATCAACTACTGGTAGAAGTTTTGAGAGGAGCAAAGAAACAGACAGCACAGGAGAAGAGCCAGAAACGGACATACTGAGAGGAAGAGGAGGAGTTACAATTCACATACACTTTATAATTTTAAAAATTTATTATTTTAAACAATAAGCAACAGCTGATGGCTACAAATTTCTACAAAATAATGGATACAATGTAAGACTGTCTAAGACTGAAACAATAAATATTACTTTTGTCTACACAAATATTAACAACAATTAATTCATTTCTCAAAGAAAGAAATATGCTATCAATAAATCTTCAGGCCCTCTCTGATTTTCCCCAAGTAAAAGGATCACATCCTCTGACCATGAACTCTGGAGTGCTGGTATAGATATCAGTGTACATCTCCTCAAGTGGGAGCTCTGTGTCAGAAATGGCATTAGCTACGGCTTTCTTTATATCAGCTTGTACTGATTTCCTGATTTCCTTTAGCTCCTCTTCTGTAGCTAAGTCACCTTGTAGAAGGTAGCGGGTTGCAGTAGTAATGGGATCCTTCTCTTTTCTGAACTGTTGCACCTCTTCAGACTTACGGTAGCTAGAATGAAGCAAGTATAGTAGCATGTATTATTGTATTACTACAACTATTATTACAAGTACACATATCAGTATAACTATTATTGTACTGCTATTTAATGTACCTCTTCCCAGGGTCACTCATACTGTGTCCATAGTAGCGATATGTCTCCAGTTCCATTACCAGAGGTCCCTAACAGAATACAACAAGTAAAGGCCACAAATTGTAAGTATAAGCTAATTCTGATGGCAATTTCTGAGTTACGTGGTGTTGAATATTAATCAGTTAGATCTAATTCATGAATATTCATTATACAAGACAGTTTATAAAAGACCATGGACTACAAAGTTTGCCAAGATAGTATCCATGCCCCTCTATAATTTTACTGGGGATATACTGTATATAAAACTAGCAGAAAAATACTAACATTTCCAGCCAGTATGTACTCCTTGGCCCATCTAGTAGCCTCTCTCACTGCAAGCACGTCCTGACCATCAACATAAACTCCAGGAATGTAGTCCCCTCGAGTGTAATAGTCAGTGGACGCTGATGAACGATGGACGGCAGTTCCCATCCCATAGCGGTTGTTTTCACAGGCAAAGATGACTGGGAGTTTCCACAAGGCAGCCATGTTATATGCTTCAAACACCTTGAGAAGGAAAAAACAATAAAAATATAAAAATTGGTAAAGAGAGAAGTCCTCTTACTTGTCCTTGGTTGGCTGCACCATCTCCATACAAGGTAATGCAAATATTGTCCTTATTATTATATTTCAATTCGAATGCAATCCCAGCCCCCAATGGCACCTAAAAATAATTCCCAACGTAACTATACACATCATTCCCACATTTAATCTCACCTGAGCTCCCACAATACCATTCCCGCCATAAAAATTTGGAGCATACATGTGCA